GTGTATGCATGCTTGTCTGACAAAATGTGAATAGAAGAGTAACAGAACCACTCTGTTCATGAGGTTAAACATAAAGAAGACAGACAACCCGGAACTGAGCTGTTTACCAGGGTTCACCAGGTCTTTTCTATCCATTAAATAAAACATTTTCTCTTGTTAAAATCTGACAGATCAGAGATGTTCACGTGTCTCACACGTTTGATTTCACCACTATAGCTGGGTTAAACAGAAGACAAGAACAAGTTAACAATTTTTACACAATTATACACAATAGACTGAAGAGACCTCAAAGTCTGATCTCAAATGCCTATGGGCTGTATTTGTCTAGATCTTATCAAAGTTATAAAATATGACTTATTTTGACATGGTGTTCAGTGTAAATTATAGCAATAGCAATTTCAAAAAAAAGCTATGAAGTACTTAACAATGACAAAATGCAACACTAAAACTATAAAACATAACACACCCAGACATCAGAACACACAGCAAGCAGTAAAAACTAACCTACCATGTACAATATTCCACAGAAAAATGATCATAGAAGACAGGTCACATGATGATAACCAGAAGGAAAAACACAGTAAAATAAGGTTCATGGCGCCTGAAATTATTAGTAGGCCCAGCCACATGTGAAAAATCAAAAAAGACAACTCATAAATTGGCTTCCTAAAGCCACAGAAATACATGCTTTTAATTGCATGTTCACATGCATGTTATGGCCACCTCGTGTATCCTGCATTTCTTTGGAGCTTTGGTTGTGTGTGTCCTCAGACATTAATGCTACGTACCCACAAGATGCAATTAAGCACATAAACAATGGGGTCAGAAAGTGGACAGTTCTGACGAGAAATTCATAGAGGTAGTATGGCCGACACGCTATTTACGATGTGGCTGCAGCTATTCTCTCTGGGAAGTATTTTTAAATCATACTGACAAAAATCTGGTTCTTGTTGCCTCTGTCCTACTATAAGCAGAAAACAGTATTTGATTAGCTACAATAAAAATTAAACAAACCAGTTATATATTGGTTTCAGAATATAAAGTAAAAACTGAGTGTTGTTTTCTTCTTTCTGTGTTCTGTTGGTAAACCTAAAGAAAAACTACTTCAGTTCCTCAGCTATCATTCTATGGTGAAATCAATTGGTTAAAATGAACACAATCCATCAAATCTACACTTTTCACCCACTTTATCTATAAAGTACAAAGTACGGGCTGTTGGGCTGGAGTTAGTGTCATGACTTGGCTCATCCACCTGTCCGAACTGTCAGTGTGTCTGTCCATTGAAACAGCTATCTCAAATGCCAGATGATGAAGAGTGGGACCATCAAGGACAGCCAGGAGGACCCTAAAGGGTTCTTGAGAATTTCAGACCTCACCATTAAAATAAAGTGGTGTGCAAATATCTCTCCTTTGAAAGACAACCCTTAAGTTTCACCTTTAAAAACAAGAGCAGAGTGCTCTCGTGGGATTAGCTGATGTTGCACGGCAAAGGTGACTATAGTTCTCTATTTATTGTGTGATGATGACCAATATGAATTTGGAGTCAGTTAAGCAGTGAGCTGGGAGCAACTAAATGGGCTGCAGTCTGGCCTGTGGCCCACGCACACATAAACTCATGTGCGCCTCACACATATGCATGTGCAGCCAAATGTTACTAGTTGATTTTCATCTAAAGAATGTCTGAACCAAATTTCATGGCTAGCCATCCGTACTTGTCAAAACATTTCAGTCTGGACCAGAGAGATGAACCAAACTACTGACTAACATTAACATCCATAGAACCACGTTGCTAGTGTGGCTAAAATGGTAGACATTCACACATATACATTACTGCTGGTTACGTTCAAAAGCAGGAAGAAATACAGCCACACCTTTGCACAACCCTGTGGGTAATATTCATGTATAGTCCAGTACAACACCACCTTTAACTATGACCTCAATAATAAACATTTAAGTGAATTTACACATTTAAGTCAATTTCACCAAAAACTGAAACATTTTGAGCTTCATAAATACAGATGCACACAATTGTACTGATGTACCTAATAAAGTGGCCAGTGAGTGTAGTTACTGCTATGCTGCTATAGTCTTAAGATAAAGAAACAATAGGCTAGAAAACAAAAATAGTGTGTGCAGTTATACAGTGCTGTTACCTGCAATATCAACTTTATGATTTTAGGTATCATAGCGATGACATGGCGCATCATGGTTATAAATGGTTCAGTAGCACCAGGCTTAGTGAGGCAAGTCACTTGATAGGATCTTATGGTGTTACGTCAATGGTGGTTAGAGTAGGTGTGAGGTCATTCCGGGCCACTGAATGAGTGAGATACCTCGTCTGTGACTCTCAGCTTTATGGTTAGAAATACTGATGCCATACAGTACATAAATGTACAAACATAGCATGGACGGGTTCAGGACAGAAGCTAAATACTAAAAGGTCTTGTTACAATACGGCAAGTTCAATATTATACATTCTGAAAACGTTACACAAGTGAAAACAGCTGGTATTTATGATGCACATTTTTAGATTTCAAAATAGCACTTTTATAAGAACACATATGCTTAACGGACATGACCTGACGATCTAGCTCAACAAAAACAAGGTCATAAATAATGCACACAATAATGCTCTACCGTGGGCCTCGGGGTGGCGAGAGAAGTGGGTTTGACAGGACTATTTGTGGAGGGACTAGAGACAGGGCGAGCACTGTACAGTATTTTCTGTAATGTAAGGAATTCGGCTAAAGAAGATGTTTGACCAGAATATGATAAAGTCAAAGGGGAGGCGTGTGTCGGAAAACTTATAGAAGTGTTGCCTCCTGTCTGTATGTCTGTGTGCTCAGCAGGGAATCTATGTCTGGCTGTATCATATAATACATGCACAGACAAGAACAGTCATGACCTTATCACCATGCAAAGAGACAATTCTCTCCTCCTTTAACTCGGAACATTTTCTTGTCTAGTGCCTATATTACCCCCCCATGCAACATGGCTACGAGTGTTTGTTGATTATCTTATCAATGTACCTGATCTCAACTTAGGTTGCCATATTGGGCAATTTTAAATAAATCAGATTTGGCCATTTCTTCTTTTTTTAAATGACCCAATTAATTAGTCACGCATCAAAGTGGGCATACAATGTAAGTGTTAACTGGGATCCTAGCACACTGTTTTCTTAAAGTAAAATTAAATATGTACTGTGCAATGTCAAGTTTTGTACTGAAAAATTAAAGCGAAAAGAAAAGCTAATGTTATTTTGGTGAATGCTTAAATTCTATTGTTCACTTCAGTAAAGGAAATGTATACATAAATTGAAAATTGAAATGTCTAATATGTTAAGAATTGGAAAATAAATGAATTTGAATTAAACTGACAATCACCACGGCTGTGCTGACCAATGAGGAAAAGGCATAACAGCTGTGATGGTGGTGGAGGGGATTGAGCATATTTTATGGACCACAAAGTATCCAAAAGCAGAAACACATCTTTTGTCAATCAATAGCACTGGGGGAAAAAAAAAACCAAGAGCCAGAGTCTGGCTCATTAAACCTTGTTTTTGAGTCAAGTCACAGCCCAACTGCAAATAGAGTGTGTAGTTTTCCTTAGTTGGCAAATGCTAAATGGTGGTGGTCTCAGTTTTGGCAAAGTCTCATCTTCACATAAACCTGAAAGACACTTGTACATTCAGGCACATTTACTTCAATCATGGCCCCACAGCAACCACAAGCCTATAAATACAGCTGCTGTAGGGAGAAGATAGAGGGAAAAAAGTAGTTTAGTTTAGAGAATTCATTCATTTTTCTGTAGAGAATTACAAAAGGGTTTTGTCTGATTAACTAAATTTACAGTTTAATAAAAGACACAATCTCTCTTAGACTTAGTTACTGGCACACAGATGCAGTACTCCAATCACATTTCTCTGCAAACAGGTATTAAAGAAATGCCTTATGATATCTGCATCTCTCAGCAAGAAACCAGTGGAGAAAAGGTTTAAAAAAATTTGTGCAACAGCTCCATCCTGTGGATTCCAGAGCATTCAGACTAAATTAAGGACACACTGCACACAGGCATCTGTTTCTACATTCGTCATAATTTTGAAATATATCAGACTATGAATATCTCCATTAAAAAAAGCCACTATGTCATTTAAATTATAGATAAACACTTTTAATAGGTTGACAAAAACACGACAGAGGTAGCAACACAGAGACGGGTTTGTTTCAGGTAACTCAGATAGTAAGACACCAACAGTACAGTTAAAACAATAGCAGCTGGCCCGAATGGAGAAAAAACAGAGCATGTGAGGACAGCTCCAGCTCGTCCAAGTACAAGTCAATGCCAGAGCTTTGATAGTAGTACTATCATGAGTATTATGACAAGAAATAGATATCCAAATGTGACTCTCTACATATATAGCTGAATACTTTCCAGTGGTTCTGCCAGCTGCTTTTCAGCACCCTACACTAGCCACAACACAAACACGCATTAGATTTAAAATATGACTTTCACAAGAGACAATGGAGCCTCTCTCCCCCTCATACATTTAAAACATACAAACTCCAGTTTAAATACTGTAGGTAATTAGATCCTTATTAAAACTTTAATCAAAAAATAGTCAAGCAGGAAAGGCAATTTTAACCCTCTGTAATCAATACATAATGGGTGCTACATTTAAGCTTATACAATATTCAAAAAAACAAACAAACCATCAACCACGATTAGAAAACACAAGGACACAGAGGGTGTAGTTTAATTTTCTAAGAGGCAGTATTTCACAGTAATAAACTGATGTAAAGGCAGTGACAGATGGCAGGATTTTAACATAACTGCTCAAGAAGTTGACATAATTTTGGTTGGGAAACAAGACTGTTGCTAAGAGCAATGCATGACTACCACTGCCTCATATTGCTGGCTGAAACTACTTTTTGCCTTTAAAATGTGTTAAAATGTGTTAATGGTCACTTGAAATGGCTTTATTCATGTACATTTTTTTGTGGTTTCTGCCTGAAACAATACTGGGTAGAGGAGTGTGACCAACAATAAAGATAGACGTAAGTTTATCTCAGGTGATAAGTATTTGAATGTTAGCAGTGGAGGAAGCTGTCAATAATGTTTTTGGAATGTGACACTCAAGTACACATTCTGCTAGTTATCTTTGTAGACCTGCAGGTTAAAGGGTTGATCAGATTACAATTAACTGGACAGAGATCTTTGACTATTTTGATATAAAATGATGTCAAATGTATTTTAGGGTCATATCTGGCAAATATTTAATAGAGAAAATGGACTGTATCGCAGAAGTAATATCTGAATAATGACGTTTCCATTTCATTGACCATTAAAAAGTGCATAATAGTTTTTAAACTTTTTTGCTGAACTGATAGGAGTTTAAGATCTGTAGGACAGATACAACTGTACACTTGCAGTCACACCTCTGTCACTGCACACTGTCCATCAGGACTACATGAGCGAATACTTAGCGCAGAGCTGGAGGGCCCGCCCCTTGGAGGCATTCTGGCTGGTTGACTCTCTCTTAGTGGTCTTTGCCTGTGTCTTCTCTGTGGTACTGATTCTTCACTCCCTCGCTCGCACTCCCTTTCTTCCTCACTCTCACTGTTTCCCGATGCATACTCGTATGTCTGCAGCTCATCGTCTTCTTCCACCTCTTCACCCTCTGGCTGGCTGATCAGAAGCTGAGACAGAGAGTCGTCAAGAGTTGAGGGGGAGGGACAGAGGGGACTTGTGAGATGGTGCCCCAGGATTGTTAGAGGTCTAACAGGGGGCAAAGACAAAATCCCAAAAGAGGAAGACTGTGACTGGCTTGCAGTGTCCGATCCATCAGCTGAGCTGATGCGTTCTGTTGCAGCCTGGGTGACAACTGGTAAAACAGGGGTGGGGGCAGGTTCAGGGTCTAACCTCAGTCCTGCAACTCCCTTCTTGGGTATATCAACAATGTCTCGCTTTATCTTGCGCCTGCGACCACGCTCATTGCGGCGATATTGCACCATATTCTCCAGATCAGCCACATAAAGAAACCCTGCAATCAGCATCTCTGTGCTCTTCTTCCCCTTGGCAAAGGCCTCCTCCAGTTCACGGCTGGTCCTCTCATCATACTGCCACCAACCGTTGCGCCCCTCATAGTACCATGTATAGTCTCCTTGGGAACTGCCCCCTGTCCTGTCATATCGACTCACCCCTGCAGCTACGGCCTTCAGTTTTTCAGGTGAAAGGAGAACTGGATGCTCCAGAAAATCCTCAGGGATTTCTTGTCTGCAGAGGGCACAGCGCTTACTGTGCCAGGACGCACCTTTCACACACAGGAAACAGAAGACATGGCAGCATGGGAGGCGTACAGGGTGGATACAGCTCTGCAGGCAAATGGAACACTCTGGGGGTATGATGGAGCCGGAAGAGTCTGTGGTGCAAGTATCTCCCACTTCCTCTGTCAGCTTGGATGGAGCCGGGGCGTTCACTGAACAGTCCACTTCTCCACAGCCTGCCATGCTACAGAAAGAAACAGAGAACTGTCACAACATATCTGACCGAGAAAACAGGCGTGATTTCTTATACCCTTGTAATCTTAAAGTGATTCAGTGGCCATAATACTACAATGAGATTTGATGCTGCCCTTACTTGACGTGCTCCTGGATATACTTTTGGGAACGCCCTCATGCGCACAATGTTACGAGGTTTTCTTATATCTGTTAGTAATATTACAAATTATACTACTATGGCAATTAAATATCTGAGACAAATACCGTGTGTAGCATAACAAAGGACCTCTGTTTGAGAGCCAGCGTTGCCCATCTAGCTAGGTTAATGCTACTGCTAAGCTAAGGTTCACACTAGCTGCTGTATTAACAACCTTTACATTCTTTTCACATAATGTTAGAAGCGTGTCTGTTTGGTGTAAAGTAACAGTTACTATTAATACAGCGAACATAACTCCAAGTTAAAGTCGGGAATTCATCCAATGTTATGCTAACGTTGACAGCTATTATAGCATAGCGTGTCAGCTGTGAGTGTGCTTCCTAGTTATTTAAATAACAAACTCACCTGAACAGTGGGATACCTCCAGAAGGTTTGTTAGCAGAAGTCCAGACTGGGATATTTATAAAGCTGCATTTATATTTAGTTATAAAGTTACGTACGCCCAAGAGTGACTGCGCCAGACAGCCAAGCACATCTGACTTCCGTGCTCCCGGATAGCCCTCGGTTGTCAGTGCCAGTCTAGCTCTGTAGGTCTGGTGTGGCTGCGCACAGTAACGCAGCTACCGTGAGTCACGGGTATTTTTGAGTCCTGACATGAACTCGTGCGAGCTTAATGAGCAGACAGGAAAACGAAAGTGTGATTTATTTACTAAGAGGACCACGTTTTGTTATGGTATATGTCACAGTTAAAGTCCATGAATGATATAAATGTATTCATTGTACCGTCATGTTGCGTCTTTTTTTTGCATCAGTTCAACCTTAGCGTACACCATATAAAATCAATCATTTATGTGATAGAGAAATTGCTATAGTTTGTGCTTTTTTATATTTGTATGCTCCCATTACAGCATAAGTGAATTGTCATGGAGTAAAAGCACGTGTTACTAATACCATTAGTGATTTCTTCTTCTGTTTCTAAGTACTGTAAGCCATGCAGAATATCAGGTCCCCCAGGACCCTCCTATGCACATGAATAAGACCATTTTGCATGAATGACTAAGGACCAAAATAAGCAAGAGCCAAGAGTAAGCAGTAGTTCTCATTAAGTTGCAATATGGCATATACATATCAGTCATTTATACAATGGTGGGCCACAGCTAGCAACAAATCAGCATACTGTATGTTTGCTATTCATGAAAAGTCCAGGAAAGTCCAAGTGATGCTGCAAAGGTGTTCGAATTCCTAGTATAGGGAACAGTTTATTAAGATTTTCATTATATGCATCCATCCCTTTTATTAATTTGTTGGATTGATAGAAAAAAAATGTATTTTAAAGGAATACATGTTTGACATTTTAAGGATATACAATCGTTTTCTGAGTTTTTAAATTACCAGCCATTAATGAATGCGCAATAACAAGTTGAATATCTCTCCAATATCAGCAGAAGGTTTAAAAGGGGCTCTCGCTCAGCTTATTACAACCTACTTGGACTCATCTCTTTGTGATAAAACACTTCCTGAACTCTGACACATGTGGGCAGGGGTCGGCATAGACACTTGGGGACCGCAGAACTTGTCGAGTACGCGTCTCCTCACCCCTCCTGTAGGTTCGTGTGCTCCTTTTCTGAATACATGGACCCCAGTCTGTCCAGTCCCCAACCTCACAGTGCACTACAGGAGACAGCTGATGATTAGTGTGGCAAAAGATGGTGGGAATACAAAGACTATTCTGAAATGATGCATGGATGTTGTTTCGGTGAGATGTACCAGTGTGCTCAATATCTGAAATGGATGGTGGATGTTAAAAACATAGGGAACATCCCTCACCTTGAAGGACACACTGCATGAGCTGTACATCAGGCTCAGATCCACTTGGGCAGGCAAGGTGGCACTGCCCATGGAGAAAGTACAGATCTGCTCTACACCTCCCACACATCTTCCTCCTCACACACGCCTCACAGCCAACAGGGCACTCTGGGACAGAGGGACGTAAACATCTTACAGTGTGTGGTAGTTTCCCACCATCATGGAAACACTCAGTTCAATACATGACCATACATTACTGACAGTGTCTCACCTGTGCATTCTCGCAGTACTGTGTTTGAGGTCAACCCATGTGGACAGCTCTTTACACATTTACCTCGGAACAGGAAGTGGCTGGGATGACAACGAGTGCAGAAACTTTCACTGAAGCAGAAAGCGCAGTCCTCTTTGCACCCTACAGTGTCAGGACACCAAAAGATTTTACTGTTTGTTTCTTTGTCTCAATACTGTCTTTAATCTGATAGAGGGCATTTCAAGCCTTGCCAAACGCTCTGAAACTGCTGAACTAGTCATAGCTGTCTGCTCATCTAAATACAACTAATCAGCAATAAAGTCTTCTACCACTGTAATCCCAGTCTTTTTATAGTCACCTCAAAACATGTTTAAAGATCATTCCACCAGTCCTTCATGTTTTCATTAATACCTACTAGCACAGGTGTTGATGTGAGGTGAGCGTGTACCATAGTGACCCCAGGGACAGGAGGACAGACAGGCGCCCCTCTGCCTCATCCCATCTAACTCCAGGTGGAAGAAGAGGCGAGGTTTACATGACAGACAGCCATTCAGGGCAGAGCACGATGCACAACCTACCGGACAGAGTTTGTTCACTGAAGAGCTACCTGTCATGGGTTAGAGGTAAATAAAGATGTAAAATGTGCTGCTGAAAGAAAACACATATTGTCTCTACATATAGTGTCTGTCTAATGTTCAACTACATAAATGGGAAAAGAAAAGGCACACACCACAAAGCTACGTATATCTAAGACTAGTAGTGGAGAGATGAGGATGACAAGTTAGGCTTGAATACTTACGTCTGTATCTTATAATTGTTGTGTTGCCAAGGCCTTTTGTAAGATTTGTGAAGTGCAGGATACAAATTAATAACGGGAGCCACATTTTCCTTCACTATGGATATAGATCCAGTCGGCAAAGACTCTTCACGTCACATAACAAACCTTTTATGTAAAAAAAAATTGTGAATTTCTCCTCAAAATGTATTCAAATGGACCCATGTAGAGATTCCAGTTTGTGCAAGACAGCAGTCAAGTGCAGAAATGCTTTCTTGAGGAAAAAAATCCCATGTGCATTCCAGGAGATCACTCAAACTGTCAGAATGCCGTGTAGAGTGCAAACAAGAGAAAACATCATGATATCTGCAACACAGATCTAATGTAATGTTTGGGTAAGCTGCTGTGGGCTTGCCTCTGTCCGCCTGACATACACACACACACACACACACACACGTTCCCACCCTCCACTCCTTTGTCGACCCTCCTACTGATCCATTTACACATCAACAGTGTCTCTTGCTCTACACCAGCACATGGAATGTGACTGATATCACTGCATGATGATAACTTATTGAAAACCGTGTACTCTGTTTATTAGAAAATTAAGTTTATAATTCTGCATTCTTTATCAAAGTCCCGTTTCACTCAATGTGTTTTTGCTTATTGGTACTTCACTAAAAAGTTTGACCTTCACTGTGCAGAATTTCAGTAAAAGTTCATTCATCAAATAAATAACTTTTCAAATGACACATTTTTGTGCCATTCACTAAAACACACAATATATCGAAGCATTAGCATGCAAGACTCACAGTAAAGCCTGATTCACGGTTCTGCGTTAAATCTACACAGAGCCTATGTTGTGGGCTATGCAAGTGGCCTACGCTGCTGTGAGCATTTAGAATTGTGCACTGGTGTGTCTATATTACGCTGCAATTACACCACCAAAATACTAGTTGGCGGTGGGGTTTCTATGCCACTGTGTTGTGTTTCTTCACCACTTACAAACAACAGTGACTGAAACTGAGCGGGCCATGCTGGAGTTAAAACTAAGAGATGTTGAACTGAATTTACTTTTACTGATTCCTCAATGGCTTGGACAGCCACTGAGGAATGAGGAAATGCATTACATTTATGGAGAGGAGCATGTCAGGTTATGGCGTACAGTACAAGGCTACAAATTACCTACCCCATAGGTACAGATAGGATGCAGAACTGTAAATCAAGCGTAAACCTGTTGTTATCAGGCACAACAGCAAGAGGCTCTTTGCATGTTTGGAAGTGAGTGCAGCTTTAAGTGATGCATAACTGACACATAAGTGGCACATAGGGCGAGTGTGTAACCGCGAAACTAAAATATCCCCTCATTTGGTTTCCATTGAAGCTAAAAAGACTATATTTTTGAAGCACATCAACACCAGCTTTTCAAAGTTTTCTCTCACTCGCCAGATGAAATCATAATGTTAGAACAACTCAAAAAAAAAAAAAAAAAAAAAAAACCTGATTGTAACTAAAAAAGTCACTCCTATGTGTTCAAGCTTTTAAAATTATTTTGACTTAAGCTATGACTAGACACTGCGTGTTTTCTATTAAGACAATGCTTCAAGAAATCAAACCCATATACAGTATACAGGGTGAGTCGACTGCTTCCCAATGAGCACTAGAAGAGTCAGAAAGGATCTGTGTTTCCTTAAGAGCTGGAAGGTGATGAAAGTTTCAGATGTACAGAGAATTAGTTGTTTGGAATTCAAGTGTGCATCATCACCTGTTTTGGGAACTATGTGGCTCATCATCCACTTCTCTGCCAGTGCTTTGGTCCAGAATCATTCAGCACAGCCTCTCAATTCTTACAGGATCAAAAAATTATAATTTTTCATTTATTGACAGGATTTGGTGATATGGCCTGCTCTTATTTCCAAATGCATTATCACTTTTTGACTGATATGATTCTACTCCTGCAGGAAACTGAACAGAATTGGTGACACTTGAAACCCATGAAACCATGTGCTCCTGATTATGAAAGGCACAGCAAGGTCTCATAACATCATCTCTGCCAGAATGAACTGCCGTGTTTTCTTACTTCTTGGCTTGCCTGAAAAATAGGAATCAGCAGGAGTCTGCAGTTTACACTGGAATTGATTTACCGGAGAAAGACAGAGCTAAAAGACACGCTGCCAGACGAAGGAGCTGGACAGGGCTGTGGTGGCTGGCTTGAATCAACAACAGGTGCTAAGACAAGAACATACCGAACAGGCAAAGCACAGCAAGGCCAGGCTACTTCTTTATTTTGACAGAGGAAGAAGGGTGTGTTTCTCAAACCCATCAAGAACTAAAACAAACATTTAGAGGATGATAAAATAAGACCTCAGAACAATATCATCCATCAATTAGCATGTAACAGATTTACAGCTTGTACTGTGCCTGCAAACCACACATCTCCTTCAAGCGAGCAAGTTTAACTCTGTTATGACTAACAAAGTGGCACCTGCTGGCTGAAAACATGACAGACAACAGATTTAAAAATGCTTTGTGGATTTGAAAATGCATCCAGATGTATTATCAAATATTTCAGGGTTCTGTCATAACAATATGTAAATCAGGGAAAGGCATGGAGCCTCCAGAGAAGGAAGGTATCAGGGGCTCAAAGGTCATGAGGGTAGGGCTTTACAAAACCAGTAACATCCTCACAACTTGACTACAAACTTAAACACAACATGGCTATGCTCACTACGGTGCCAGATCAGATTCTTGAAGAAAATAACCACTGATGGCTGTGGAATATCTTAACGACCAAATGGAGACCATGATAAAAATGGAAAAGGCCAAGCAACAGAAGGAAAGCACCAAGTGAATAATATAGTTAGTGGCCAGTGTAAACCACACAGAGAACTACCTGTAATCATGTTACCATTAAGCCATTTAAAGCAAATACTAGCACTGAAGTTGTACCTTATGTATGCTTGGACCACTTGATTCAGCTAAGACTCTAAAAAGACAAACCCTGAACTCAGACCGGCGCTTAAACAGGATAATAAGATGCGAGTACACTGTAATACAAACCAGGTTTTATTTTACCACCTGCTATCAAGATTCTGGTGGAGCAGAAAATGTCATGTCAATAAAATTTAAGCAGATATTAAGCAGACTGAGCAACTTGAACTTGGACCTTTTCACTGTTCATACACCCTCCATAAAAACCTCAAACATCTTGCTTTGAGGAACTCTGTGATAAGGAATCAACAGATCGCATCTCAGCACAGCAGTAATTTATTTATGGTGAAAAAGTGAGGAAGTTAGGAGGAGACCATGCTCATGCTCAGCAAAAGGCTGCAATGCATCTTAAAAAAAAGACTTCAAGGAATTTTCATTAGTTGGATATCTCTTTAAAGGCTGCACAGTCCATTCTAGGATATATACAAGTTTTTTTTTAAGGCTTTCTAGTGCCAAGGCTGACCTGGTGGCAATAGCAGGCATGTGTTAATATGAGAATGATTTGCTTTTTTTTTTTTTTAGCTTTGCAAGTTGTGCGAATAGAGAGGTCCAACATACTGTACGAGCCATTACATAACTCTCATAAATGTAATGAAGAACAGAAAACATATGACAAGAAAACAGATACAGGGCAGTTGCTTGAAGAATGGACAGAGTAAACTAACAAGAGTGAATATCAGAAGAACCCAAAATAAAACAAAAATATTGCAACTGTCGGTCATAAAAAATGTTGATGATGCCCTTCATGACTGTCATCCTCTGGCTTTTTTCAGCATTGTCTATAAAGAAATAGAAAACAAATTTAATTCTACTTCCTATACAAAACATAAAATGTTATTGCTAGTAAGCAGTAACGGACAATACATTTATGTATGTTTCAGTCCTGTGTTTAGTCAAATTTGATTAAATTTAAACAAGTCCACTCAATGTAAAATTACCTATTTTCCAAATACAGATAAATGGGTATATGTGAAATCAGTTTAATAGTTTTAATTACCGTAGTTAATATTTCTGGTACAGCTGCCTTTACAACATTTAGGCTACACAGCTACTCCGGTTTTAGTTCAGTCTGTAATAGTTTGTACCTAATCTTATATAGAAAGATACTGACAAAAAAGTATCAGTGAACACAGTAGCTTACTTCACACTGTCTAACAATATATCTGAGTAAAAGGTGTTTGAAACCAAGCGAGACAAGCTGGACAACAAATGAAAAAGAAAGATGTACATATACACAATGCACATGTCCATTTTAGGCTCATACAGGCAAATATTTATAGTTAGCAAATATTTCTCAACTGTCTTTTCGGCGGGCCTTGCCAATAAAATAAAATAAAATAAAGACCACATGCCGGTTTAAAAATGTTGTTACTATTTCTATGCAACTACGGAAATGCGAGAAAATCCACATGTGGAACTGTCTTATTTTTGGGCTGTTGGACATTTTATAAACAAGACAAATAAATTGTCAGATTAATCGAGAGCAGCGGTTATTAGCTTGAGTTTTAGTAAGATATTATTTAGACGTATAGACAAATATAAAATTAAAATAGTGTGCAGTCTGTGTATAGCAGTTTCCGGTTGTTTACATGTGTAGCAATCTGCGATATTATTGTAGGGCTGTTATAAATAAGACACGGAGAGTCGTCACAGTTAAAATACAGGACTTGACACCTCTGAACTAACCTTGCACACGGCTCTGACGTGTTGAGCCTTAATCGTAGTAGATTTCTCTTCAAAAGATTTGGCCTTTGCCTCCTCAGCCAGGCTGTTCAGAAACAGCAGTGTCAACAGCTCAAGCTGAGAAAATGGCAATAAACACACTTGTTATTTAACCAGCCGAGGTATCAGTTAGCTTAGCAAACGATAGCCACAAACAAAGCGAACTGTCAGAATATCGTTTGTTGCTTACCATTGCCTCTGACGCCGGCCTCAATTTTACCTTGCCCTTCGCTTCCGATTTAATTATATGCTTCAAGTTTGATGTTTTGTTTAGCATTTTGGCAAATACTCTGTGTGAAACCAAAACCCAAACAAAATACGGCTAAAAGTTTATTTAAGTTTCCAATTTCCCGCTTCTACTACTTCCGTTTCTGCAACTTCTTCTTCGTAAGTTTCCTGTTGGTTTAAGTCGTAGCTTGAAACATTACCGCCTTATACTAGTTGTATGAATACACACAGTGCATCTATAACAATAAATTGAACGGCCCGTGTCTACAGTGAGGACAAACCCAATATAATGTCAAATATGTTACGTATACAAAGATGATAATAACACAATGATTCAGCAACCAGGCATCTGGGTTACAACGTTTTCTATGCTGCCCCTAGCGGATACACTGGCAATACATTCAACTTTGTGCATCCGGGTCGGGGGACAGTCATGACAACAGCAACGGAGGCAGAAGCTATGAGAAATATACTGCAATTTATGAAACTTATCGGACAGCTCAAAGTAAGACTTTTCCTGAAACTCGGGCAACGTTGTTGGTGATTGTGTTTCCATTGAAAAATAAACAATACATTAACTTAAACATGATTCTCTGGGACTGGGTATATCGACGCTCAGTTAGTTCTTGCACATAACGTGTGCTCAGAGCCCATGGTGTAATTTCAAAAAAATATATATATTTTCTGACCAATAGCTCATAACGTACAGAAATTAAGTTAAGAACAGCCATTTTTAAAGATTTTATATACTGAAGTCAGTATATATAAACAGGAACACTGACCAAGACGTTACCTCTTCCTGTCCTGTGTCACTGATGACCTGTGTTTTGTGATCAATTTTGCCTGCAGAGGGTCCCACGGACTGGCTGGGTGTACAGAAATGTGAAACAACCAGAGAGTGTGTCTGACCACATGTACCGCATGGCCATGATGTCCCTGACCATCACTGACCCAACACTGGACAAGAACAGGTGGGTCACACACAGACTTGGAAGAAATAATTCAGGATTAAAATCAGAACCTGAGCCCAACATAACATTTTGGTCATTATAAAGTATATTGAATGAACTCCACTTAGTCTGACCACCAAACAGCAATTTAGCCCCTTATTGTTTGCAAACAGTTAAAAGCACTACTGACTGTAGTGCTCATGCATTGCTGTCACCGTCTTTAGATGTATAAAGCTGGCTCTGGTTCACGACATGGCAGAGTGCATTGTGGGAGATATCGCTCCAGCAGACAACATCAGTAAAGCAGAGAAACACAGGAGAGAAGAGGTAGAGCAGTTCTTGTAATTACTGTTTGTGTATCTTAAATTGTATTTGTGTTTGACATCCTAAAACCAAACCCTGGTCAAGTGTAACCGCACAGCATTTTTTAGTGAACTGTTTGCTTAGCATAATTTCTCTTCTTTACCTCTTTTAGGAAGCGATGAGACACTTAACAGATCTTCTGCCAGAGGGACTCAAACAGGAGATTTATGGACTGTGGGAGGTAAATAATTGAACTCATCTAATTGCAAGCTCAGCAAAACTGATGCTTTGTTCTTCCCGGTCATGTTTCTTATAGTTATGTGTATATGTTTTTTTATGACACATTTGTCTGATCTGCAGGAATATGAAACTCAGAGCAGTTCAGAGTCCAAGCTGGTGAAACAGTTTGACCTGCTGGAGATGATCCTGCAGGCTCATGAATATGAAGAGCTGGAGGGGACACCTGGAAGACTGCAGGAGTTCTTTGACTCCACCATCGGTAAGTCTACAACCTGTCTGTTGGGCTTTCTTAATTGATGGGCCCCCTCACTCTTGACCTTGTTTGGATCTTTACTGAGGACAAAAGTGCAGTGAACATAACACACTTTTTTAGCTTTTGAAAATGTTTTTTTGATAACTGCCTGTAACATTATAGGACACCAAAGTCACCACTATGCCCAAACAAAATCTTTAGATTTAAATAATTAATTTGATTGCATTCATGTCAGTTCAAGCCTCAAGTAAATGGAAACCCAACTTAAGGTATTTAATGTGTGTGTGTGTGTTTTGTCTTATTAGGTCATTTCCACCACCCAGATGTGCTCCAGCTGGTCAGCTCTTTGAATGAAGCCAGAGGATGCCACATGGCTAAAACTGCTGAAGCAAAGAATTCTGGGAATTCACATACCTCCGCTGCAGAAGTCGCACAGTCACACACCTCCTGACTGTAATACACACAAACACGGGGACACAAATACTCGACTGACCAGATGTGCAATTGAATCTCCTCATATTGGAGGCTTTAAGAATAGAAGACAGTGACACAGACATATTCTGTGTGTATGCAGCTGTTTGTGCTTTCCCTCGGTATAGCTGTTTTACTTTTCAGGTTAAGGTTCAGATGTTAATTCAGTACTTTGCATACAGAGTTTTACTGAAGTTGTTGTGTCAGAGACATACTTTCCAGTGCTCTTTGAACACTGATGCTTTCCAGCAAATTCAGTCAGTTCTCAGTGTCTCTTTTGACATCCACAGGTTAATTTAGGTTTATAACAGTACTGATACATCCAGCATAAAACAGTTATTTATGATGATGGATGAGTGTTTCTTTATTTGAATGTCTTGGGGCATTACTTTTTAAGAGTTTTGGTCAAAGTTTCTGTGCTGAGTTTAATTTGAATTCAAACCAGCAGTGTACAAATGTAAAATATGTACTGTTAGATGTTTTTCAAAGAGAACATGCACTGCCTCAGTTTTTTTTTATTAGCAGGATGAACCTGACAAACATTTCTTGTTGCATATAATCCTTCAGTACTTTGAATGTTGACTTGAAATTTAATAAATATGTTTCATTGAGAGAATTAAATGTGAAATGATCCTGGGCATCTTGTCAAACCACAGCAAAGAAAATAAAAGTCTAACACGCGAAAGACTATGAGAAAAATGAAAGGTTAAACAGGTTGTATACAGTACTGAAAACAGTACGGTTCTTAAAGGGTGAAGTTACGCAGCGGCCGCAAAGACCACAGTTGGAAAATTTCAACAGATAATCAGATTTTTTTTTAAACTTTTGTACCAACCTTGTTCTAGTATAAGAAGTAAAAACTAATTCCATACTTTCAGCATTAAACAGGTTAGTTCTGCAAAAGGGAGTTAAAAATCCCACCTGTGCAGGTGTGGGCACAGCAGTATAAACACAGCATGTACTGAATTTCAGTGTCACATTACAGCCAAGGATTGCGTTACAGCTTCTGTGTGCAGAATTTACACTATACTGTTATATAGTTTGTCATTTGCATAGAAACAGGCATCAGATTTTCAATCCTGTGACTCAGCAGGTGACAGAAATAGCATGATGTTATTTGGACCACTCTGGGTTAAAATCTGTTCAAACAGAACTGTGCATTAGATTTATACATGAAACAATACTTGTGTTTGTCTACATTTCACTGCACATGGAACAAAAAATGTTGCTTAATGTTTTTTAATAGCACATAAAATGTAACGTAGTGTAGTGCCTGTTTCACTGTCATTCCAGCCAAAGTATGAAAGTATCATAACAAACCATCCACGGCAATATGCACTACAAAGACTTATATCACATCTTCACTGCTTCCCAGCTGAAAAGTATTTACTATTTAGACAATCTATTACATTAATATCAAACATTTGCTGGCTTTCACTACAAAATGTAAAGAGTTTGTGTTTTTTCCTAATGCAATTGTAAATTAAATGTCTTTGAATTTTGCACTGATGGATAGATAAAGTACTTTTTGTAAGTGAAATCAGACTTTTTAAATTACTTATAAGACCTTTTTTGAGGGAACTTTACAGACCTTCATATCCCATGTCAAAGCAAGATCTCCTGTCTTAGTGTAAAAGTCATTTGTTCAACTCAGGAGTTCAGGGTTGGTCACATCTCCTTGGTTTATAGCATAAAGCTTCTGTAAAATGTAGTAGGTAGTTGAAAATACATTTTATCTATTTCGTTTAATCAAAGATATTTCTTAAGATAATCTAAAAACGTACTTTTGTGTTGTTTACTGTTGTTGGCTGCAGTGATGGAGAGTTCTGATGTACTGAGTCCAGTACAACTGTCCGAGGGACTCTAGATGTGACTTTTTTCTACATGTGTTTTTCTCTTGTGTTGACTGTAAATACATGACCCAATCTACGCAATGCTCAGCTGAAGTGACAGAATAAATACAGACCACAAACACCAGGCCTTGGTGCTCTCTGCCTCCTGGAGCTGATGTGAAATATCCTCCTCCTTTCATGCCGTTATTTTTAAACGTGATTATGGTGTCAATCTTATATCACGTCAATGATTCTAGGGATATGGCAATTCAACCTAAGTCTCAAGAGACTTTATCATATAT